ACACAGGATTTTTCTGGGAGCAAGGGTACATCTTTGTTGCTTAGATAGAGGCAGTCAATGCTATATAATTACAAAGAAAAAGACATCATACTGTATTTTGGAAAAGGTTGTCTCTTCAGAACCCACGGAATCTGCTCCTCTCATCCTGTTCCCCCATCTTCCACAATGGCTTTTCAATAATAATATTTGTTATGAAGGTTATTGGGTAATTATTGCAGTTTTGTGAAACAATCCTTGCTCGAGGTGAAATCTGTCTCTGGATAATAAATGGCAGCTCTTGCAGTTCATTGCCAGGTTAAGTAAATGCAGAAAGGAAGATAAATCTGCACACTCTGGGACTCACCAGCAGAGCTCGCTTTAGACCAAGTTCATAGTCAATTTGCTTTTCCTTGGGCAAGGTTTCACAAATCCACTGGATCAGTTCTTCAATGTGTTGTTGGTAACATCACTATTTTTAAAAAGACATGGTAAAACAACCAAGATCTTAATATTATACAACTGGACAAGTCTATTTCAGAGCCAGAATTTACCCACCTGTCACAGAAACCACATAGCTCCTTTCAGTTTAGTCTGCTTTCTTCAGCGGTGGTGAATGGGCTTTGCAAAGTGATTTTAGGTTTTGCTTACAATGATAGACTTTTTTTAAAGACTTCTTTTTCTTCTTTTTGAGAACACCATATTCCTCTAAATTCTTGGGAAAGCCTAATGGGAAAAGGAAGGCTGTGGAATCAAACAAGAGCTTAATCCCCCTTTAAGGAGATAGAAGCTGCATTGCTTTTGTATATCTTTGTGATTAGGGCGTAACTACTCCAGGTCAAAGAGTTGAGGGTCAAAAGTTTACATCTTGCACTGCTCTTAGTCATGAGCCCAGACAGAGTTTGATGTCAATGTTATAGCCAAGATCTTGACTATCAACACAAAAGATAAAATAGCTTTGAGTTAAGTGTGTATCACAGTATGGACTCCAGCTGAACTCTAGTGGTTGAATGACCTCAATTACGGAGGGAAGGATAGAAAATTCCTCTTTTCAGAGAGGAATACACATTGTATTTCATCTTGCATTATCAAGCACAGACTTTCCCTGAATCAGGTGAACATGATGCTTAGACACACATAGCTCAATTATTCTGCACAAATGCATGGGAGCCCACATACACCAATAGAAATACCTTTCAGAGGGCAGTGCGAATGCTAACCAATTCATCAAGAGAATTTCCACTGATTTTAATGATTCAGAGTTGCGACCTCCATGAAGAGAATTGCAGCCTATGAAAGCTCCTTCTGTCATTTGTATACCTGAGTCTTGATTACAGCTTTCCCTAATTTGTGTCCTCCAGAAATTTTGAGGTACAGTTGCCATAAGTGTCCAAATGCATTTATAGGGTGCCATGTTAGGGAAAGCTGCCTTTACCTGAGTTTTTTGCTGTAATGGACTGATACAGCTGTTCCTTTGAGAACTCTTCATTTCCAACTGTCCTCTTACCTCTCTTTTCGAGAAAGGAAGCATGGTGCATATGAATACGTAAAGGGGTCCGGCAAAGTGGGGAGATTGTGATACATTTTCTGTGTCTCAGTATACCCAGAAAACAAGGTATAGTGAACAAGACAAAGCTTGTTCAGTCCAGTAATAACTGAATTTTTGGAGTGGAACATCTGGAATAATGTGTGCAGTTTGCTCTTGAAGCAGCAATTGTATAATCCTATTTTTAATAAGTCAGAAAATATATTTCCATCACTTTGAGCATCCATGTAATACGTACATGTATTTGTGTGTATATATCCCTTCAGTGAAACTCTTTTATCTAGTATCACATTTAGATAATAATTTCCTTCTTCTTCCAAGGAACAGAGAAGGATGATTGGAAGGATTTATTTAATCTGCTAAAATAGGGTTATTTTTAGCACAATTGCTCTTTGATTTGTTGATTACCAGATTTTTGCGAAAGATTTTCTGCTTTATATATGTTGCCTATAAGATAGGTGAACAACCACAGATGCCTGTTTTCAGATTGAGAAGGCACTATCTGTACCTATTGCCTGAGGAGTGGCTCCCTTGAATTCTTACTACGAATAGCTTACTTCTGAGCAAAGGGGTAGAGCTGAACTTTACGTGGTGGTTTGTTTTGGAATTGGAAAAGGTTGCTCCGTATAGAGGCCATCACAGAAAGATCATAAAAAGACCGATCTAATGGAAGAAAATAGTTTTTTAACAAAATATATCCATGTGTTCACTATACAAGTACAGCAAAAAGTTTACCCTGTCAATATAAACTGTTTAAGTTAAAAGGCAGAAGTTGACAGAGGTGTTGAGTTTCTAGAAATTTGGCAATCTGTTTTGATTTCTTTTTGGTGTATTTTTCTTAGAAATTCTTCTAAAAGACAAAATATTCTCCCTCTTCCATAACTTGAATTTAGGGGAAGATAATCCTCAGAAAACACTGTTAAAAACATACCTGAGTTAGATATGAAATTAAGGAGGAACCCTCCCCCAAACCTGATTGTCGTGTTTGCTCGTAATATTTTGGGTTTAATGGCCTTACTCCCAGATAAGTATATATGGGAATGTTGCCTAACATAAAACTGCAAGGCAGAATATGAGCTGAATATAATTTCTCAAGAAAAAAGAAAAAAATATTGGGCTCCATGAGCTGAATATAATTTTTCTACCTGCAGAAAGTGGTAGATGTCTTTGGACTATTTCTTTTCTTTAAAAAAATGTTATCTTGATGAATTAGAGCTTTGTAAAAGCTGGCAAAGAGAAACCTGCCTTTCCCCTCTCTTCTCCACTTGTCCCATTGCTCTGGTTTCTCTGACTTTCATTAAGGTGGAATTTGAAGGCAAGCAGCTTAAGTGTCGGGAGAAAAAGGAGTTTTTCAAATACACGCTGATGTTTTCAGGAGTTTTCAGCATTCTTTTTCAAATTAAAAAATGATATTTTGGAAAGAAAATAATTTTTAAAAGCTTTTTATTTTTTAGCTACTTTGGATGGATTTAGAGCAAGATAGAGATTGTGTGCTTGTGTGTATAACGCATATAAACACACACACACCCTGTTATTTCCACCTGGAGCTCAGCACAAACTCACTGGTGAAGTAAGATAACCTGACTCTCAATCTTTCCAGCTGTTAAAGACAATTCTGCTGTACCCTTTCCTTTCTTTTTCTCTGAATTTTCAACACCATATTCCTCTATAAGAATAACCGCTAAGAGAGTACAAAGACCAGAAACAGTCAAACGCTTTTGATGAAAATTCATAGATACCTAAAATGTTCAGCTAGCATCTCTTCCAGTGTCAAAACCCAACCGCGTGATGCTGAGCTTCAGAAAAACTTGGGCATTCTCATCAATTCCTTTTAATGGGCTTTTTTAATTCTAGAAAGCAAAGGGCAAATATAGTCAGTCCCCACGTTTCATAAAATTTACATTTTTCTCATAGAAGCATTCAGGGGTTTTCCCCATTTAGGAGTAAAAGATTTGATCAAAGCCTCACCCCCCAACCAGCTTCACCCCCCCTTTTTTTTAAAAAGACACCCTCAAAGACCTCGTGAAAAAACTAAGTCCAAGGCCGAGGTGAACTTCAGGTCAACGCGTCTAACAAATATGAAAATGTCGCTTGGTGAAGGGCACGCCTTGTTATTTAACAAAGACTGTCAATGTGTAAGATTAATAAGAAACAAAATGCGCCCGGTGTCACTTTTCGGTCACTTTGAAACTTGGGGCAGGGTTGCATTGAAGAAAGGAAAGCTGCGTTAAATATATTCAAAACGCATCAAATCAGAGTGCCGGGCGTCGCTTCCCCCACCCAGTTCAGTTCGTCGCCCCTCCTTAGCCATCTCTTCCTCTCGTCTTCTCTTCCAGGCACGTGGGGCAAGACAAAACGTTTATTTTACCTACATACACACATGCACACACAATACACACACGCACGCACGTACTTTTTTGCCTCAGATACGATCTTCCTTCTCGAGGCAGCGACCAGCAAAGGAAGATAAATCTGCAATTTCGCTCCTCCTAGATCGGATGTTGGGAAAGACCCCTATAGCTTTATTCGTTTCCACTTTAATTTCGGTGGATTTTCTCTCACCCCACCCCAGCCACAGCTAGAACTTTTGATCCGGAGGTGTGGTGCGCCCTCCTGTCAGTTGAATCTTGCCCCCTCCCCAAAAGAGTGCGCGCGCGTGTGTGTTGCTGGGAAAGAAGGTAGTCAGTGCTGGCTAGGCCAGGTTTCTGGGTTCAGCGTGCGTGGCTGTGGAGCGGAGCCATAAATCTCTGCACGCATTAGGTGGGGGGGGGGCGTGCGAACGGCCGCAGGAGAGATAATCCTCGGTGGTCTTGGCCCGGCTCTTGTTTATGATAGGGAAACCGCCAAGACGAGGAACAGGCCCATCTCTGGAGCCTGAGAGAATCGCCTGAAAACCAGGCGGCGGCTGATCGGCTTTGGTCACCTTGGAGATTTACGGCCGCAGAGCAGAATCGTCTTCATTTCTGTGGCGCTGAGCAAAAGGAGGCACCGAAGTGGAAGGCAGTGCAAAGAAGAGAATCAGGAGCGCTACTCTTAAGCAGCCCCTGGGACGTTCTCGCCAGGTCACACCAGCAGATGGAAAGAAGGTACCTGCTTCCCATGCGTTGTTGTTGTTATTATTGAAGGAGACGCGGTTTTCCGATAGTTCTTGTCGCCCTCAGATCCAAGGGGGGCTTTTCTTTCAGGAGAAACCGCTACTGTTTAGAGGCGCTGATTGCAACTGCAGACTTGCTGCGTTCCAGGTTGAGCCACAAACGGGGCCTTAGCAAGTCAACTCATCCCAAGCGCTTGTCGCTGTTTGTACCGATAAAATATTGAACCCCACCTCGGGTGGCAACGTCCACACTTCCTCCCCCACCCCTATTTAAACCATAAAACAAGAGTGGAGGCGGTTGGATTAAAAAACAAAACAAAACACTTCTCTGTGGGATCCAGCGGTTGGGTCTCCCGTGTTGCCTGCAAGTGTTTTACGGCCTGCCCCAAGGAGATGACATCTGATTGCTTTCCACCGATAGCGCATGCCAGAGAAAGCGCTTCATAGAAAGTCTACTGGAGATGATAAAGGGAAACTGCTGTGCCCATTAATAGAGAGGGCATATTTCTGGTATTAGCTGGAAACCTGGGCATTGATTTTATAGGTCAGAGCTAGCGCATTAAAGAAAAGGGGCAATGGGGAAAGGGCGGTGGGTGGTAGCCAAAACAGCAAAGAAATTATCATCATCATCATCATCATCATTATAAAAATCTTAATAGAAGAGTAACGCTGGGACACGCACAGCTCCCCCCACCCGCCTCAAGAGAACTGGTTACAAGATTTTAATTTAGAAGCAATCGTTATCCTTATCCACATATAGATCGTGGAAGATTAACAATATAATCACAGCAATCCACATTTGTAGCGAAATAACCGGAGTGACTCTGGCCACTCGCGTTCTACAGATTAAGAAATCTGATTAAAACAATGTCAAACTGGAAGGTAGAGAAAAGGGTAGAGCACACGTTTATCTATGGGATAATCTTAAAATGCTGCTTTTTAACGGTATGCTTTTTGCAGAATAATCCTATACCTGTCTATTCATGAGAAGCTCCTATGGAGTTCACTATGATTTATTTTCAAGGAAATGGCCATAGGGTTGGTTCCCTGTTGTAATGAAAAAGGAAGAAGGCCTCTCTCTCTGCTTATGTGTGTGTTAAACAGATTTAAAACATCTCAGTTTCCATATTCCTGTTTTGTTAAGGGATCCATTTTCAGCAGTGATAGCAGAGATAAAAATTATTTATCTCATCTGAAGGCAATAGTTTTTGATATTTGTGAAAGGTGACAAGGCATTCAGCTTTTCTTTAAGATACGGAGATATGGTTTGGAGATTTGGAAAGTCATCTGGGCTTCAAGGAAAGCAGGGTTTCTGGTAATCTCTTGAATTTCTATGCTTCTTTATTAATTCTTGCAGGAATGTTGATATGACTTCATCCTTCTTAACTGATCCTCAAATTCATTGGATTTCTGTTTATTTTTGTCTATTAGTGTTCATTTCATATCCGCGCCCCTAGGTAATGATCTGACATTCCAGATTTGCCAAGGGGTGTCTGGTTTTTAAAATAACTAAATTACGTTAAAAAGAGCATATCTGAAAGCTCTGGAGAAGAATCTGAAGTAAACAAATAGCTCCTTGCAATTAGTTGGCCTTTGTTTCTTAGGATCAAATGAATTCATTGATTGCTCTGCTACCATTCCTTATTCTTCATTAATATTCCAAAATTCACTGAATACACCATGCTCTGTAAGATATTCTTTGTTTCAGAAGCACACGCAAGTTTCTGATCTTTAGCTGACTTGGCTGCCCTTTCAAAAACGGGGCAGGGGAAATGGAGAGAAAATACAAGGGAAAATCTTTGCGCTCCTGTCATGATACTCAGTCCTACTGCTTTGCTCACACAGTTTGTGCCTCCTGGAAAACCAACTTCTGCAGAACGAATTTTGCACTAATAGCCAAAATCCACCCATCTCTCTCTCTTCACATACTCAGATCGTAGCCGTGTATACAAGAAAAATAAATCTAGAATATAGATCACCTCTGGTTCCTTTCTCTTGATCAGATACACAGCTTGAAATCTCCAAGCCAATTCTTAGTTGGTGGAATTCCTCTTTGTATTTCTCCTTAAAAATTATAAAAACAGGAAACAGGCATTCTAGAGATTATTGCTCGGGTTTCCACAAGGAACGTTGTGGAACCTTGAAGGCCAACCGATTTGTGATCTAGTGAACTGCATTCAGGAAAAGCTCCTGAGCTAATAAATTAGGCCATCTTTCAGAAGCTACAAAACTCTTGGCGGCTGGCATTTGTAGAATCCTTCTCAGGCGACCCTCATTCTATACCCTCTTAAAACTTAAATACAGATGTTATTGTTTTGGGGGGGAGAACCAGGAACGCCAAATTAGGGGGTCCTTCCTTCCTTCCTTCCTTCCTTCCTTCCTTCCTTCCTTCCTTCCTTCCTTCCTTCCTCGTTTTACCGGAGAAAGTCGGACTGGATTCCTTCTTCCCTGTGTGGGGAAAAGGCACACAGGCCCATCCTGGACTTCCTCGGCAAATCTTCCTTCCATTTCCTGATCCGGGCTCTGCCACCCGCATAGCAATTGGCCCTGCCGGTCAGGTGGTGGGGGTGGCAGCGGTGTGTGTCTGTGTACGTGCGTGTGTGTGTGCATCCGAGCTCGCGCGTGTGCTTCGAGCTTTTGGGGTGGGAATTCGAGAGGGTGGGGGGAGGCCCAAACTTTGGCGGCGGGAGCTTGACAACAG